AACTATGCCACAGCCTGCGGTCACAGCGAAGCTCAACTACCCTAACAATAAACAGACTCTGTCTGACTGTAGGCTCGGTCAATTTCACAATTTGCAATTCTATTTTAACGATTAGCTTAACTAAGATTTTTAGCCGATTCAATGAAAATTCTCTTGCAATTATCAAACAAATTAACAAATTAAAAAAAATATAATTTGTAATGATAAGCAAACTTTGCGGCTGTGTTGCCAATTAAGCACCATTTCCGCTTACTGCCAAATGTATTTATTACTGTTATTGCAAAAATGAACAATATATGTATATAAATATATATATTTATATATATATATAAATGCATAACATTGTAAGCTATGTACAATAAAAGCAATTGAAAGCTGTGACAAATTATACAGGGCGTGCGGCTATTGTCTCTATTCGAAGCCAGGCTGCTGCTCTGCCTAGCCCATTATATTACATACATTACAAGATACATCAGTAAGCGGTGCATTCAATATCATTATCATTATCATTAATAATGCCGCCCACTTGACACGCCCAGCCGCTCAACACCAGCCCAGTCCGCGCTGATAAGTGCCATATGGCAGGGGTCAACGGAAATGCAATCGAAACAACAGATAAAAAAATAAACACAAAATTAAATGCAATAAAATAGTTATTTAATTTTCCATAATGAATGCATTTTGTTTTGTGTTGTTTTTATGAAAATATTCGTTTTTCTATTAAACATTTGTTTTTATTATTATTTTTTTTTTTGTTTTTAAATTCAAATTTGTAGAACTAAATGTGCGGCAGAGTAAATTGCAGCTCGGCATGGCGCTGAGCTTAGCATAGCGTTTCTTCTTCCGTTTGCAATTTGGAGGCCTCTCCAGTGGCAAAGGTTGAAATCCTGAATCGTAGGCGTTGTTCCGGTTCGCTCGTTCCACCCACAACATTTTCAAGTAGTTCCCTGTATTTAGTTGGTAAATGCTTTCAGACTGAATTCTGGGTGCTTCAAGCTTAGACAAATATTTGAAATTATTCGACATATCTAATTGACCATCAGTTAACGAAAACAAATACTTAATAGATCGAGGCTTAAACTAGTTAGAAGTTACAAATAATGTAGAATTTAGAAAATACTTAAAACTGAGCAAAGTATAAACAGAGTCAAGCAGTAGCTGTAAGTTTTTGCATGAGTCTCAATAAAACTGATCTAGGTTCGAGCTAGTTGAGATTTACAAATCAATCAGAACTGAACAAGGCCGAGTTACAGTTTCAAAAGAATATCAAATTATTTTTCGTCAGCTAGTGGGAAATTACAAATCAATCTGAAATTAAGAACACAAAATAAATTGAAATTGAACAAAGAATAAACAACGCCAAGCCCTCAATTTAACTGATCAATAACTAGTTGAGAATTACAAATCAATTAAAAATGAGTTCAGAAAATAAACCAAAAACTGAATAATGCAAAGTTACAGCTATAAAAGGACATCATATTGGTTTGCCTCAATAAAACTTTTGCTGAACTTAAACTAGTTGGGAATTATAAAGCGCATAAGAGTTAAGAAAGAAAATGAACAATGAATAAACAAAACACAGCTATAATGAAACATCATATTGTTTAAGCTCTCGCATGATCCGTCTAACACCCACAGGCGTGTGTAAGTGCGTGCGTGTGTGTATGGCAAACAGTCGCAATGGGTGTGGGTACACTCGCATAGATGGTTACTTTGACAGGCGGCGGTTTGTTGTTGCTGATTTCCATGCAAATTGATGTTACAGCACAGTAAGCAGCCAATATTTCGGCTTCATTTCATAAATGCGCCAGGCGAAATCCCCAATTGCCGTTGCAATCCCCGGCGGAACGGGCCCCCTTCTATCCATCAGTTGCCAAAGTTTGCATATCAAACGAACGTCCATAGCTTTACGGATGTTGATATCGAAAACGACCAGCCAGATAAGCCGCTCCATAATATTTATTTCGATTTTCGTTTGTGCTTTTAATTTATGCATGAAATTTACGCAATTACCAATTACTTATGTGCCCTTAAACAGTTCATAGAATAATTTTAAAATGAATTGAAACTTAAAGAAAATTTGACTTTACTAAAGTTTCGTCCAAGAACCCAAATTGGATTTAACTTAAGTTTTGTTTGGAACTAAATTTCGTCTTTTAATGAAATATCACAAGAAAACACTGTTCAATTAAATATCTTAGATTAGAAATCTAACCAAAATGGATTCTATAAATTATATTTTTGATTCCTTAAAATTGAATGCCACAAACAGTTCCATTGAAATCACAATTTTATATATATATATAGATATGTACGATGTTATTCATTACCTTAACCATCAATGTTTTCCATACAATTGCACAATTTGCCAAAATTTTTAAGTTATAAGGGATAGAATTTGGAAGTTGTTATTGATACTGATCAATAATACACCTAAATACATTTCTGGGTATATATTTATATAGTTTTTATACCCTGCATTTACTGAAAATGGGTAAAAAGGGTATAATGTTTTTGTGGAAATATATGTAACAGGCAGAAGGATGCTTCTTCGATCTCATAAAGGATAAATATCCTTGATCAGCATTAATAGCCTGGTCGACCTATCCATGTCCGCCTGTCTGTCCGAATGTATGAAGACAAGGATCTCAGAACCTTTAAGAGCTAGGGAAATATTTAAGGTAGGTCTTCCTAGTGCTCGCGCAGTATGAGTTTGTTTTTGTTAAAAATTGATAAAAATGGATATTGAAATCATATTTTCTTTCCAATTTGGAGGAAATGGCCAGAGCTTAAAGGTTAATCCACATACCAAGTTCGGTATATGCAGCTCTTATATTTTCGAGCTATGATTAAAATCGATATTTGTTGATTATCCAGAGAAGTGATAAGCTAGGTGGATAAACGGGTGGATGTGGCTAGATCGATTCAGTTCGTCGATATATACATGTATAATTGAATGGATTCAAGGCTAAAAAGCAGTTTGTAAATCCTGGCTCGATCTGATTAGTTCAATACCTCTACAATAACTTTACAGGCTTCATATGCTCCTGTGTATTTGCGTCATGTTATGTTAGTTATTTAGTTTATGTTAGTTTATTTTTGCCCACACTCAAAAATCTTTGGCATAAAGAACAGAGTATTGCACAGTCAGGATATTCGAACTGTGTCGTTTATATTGTTTATCCTTAATGCTATTGACCAACACTGGTTGCACTCACCAGCACTTTGGCCAGGCACTTTCGCCAATTGCTGGCGATATTGCAGTAATTAGCAACATTTGGCTACCGACAACGATCATGTTTAATTGAGCGTGCCCAAAGACAAAGCGAGAGGCAGGCAGGTACGCTGAGAGAGACGTAGAGAGAGAGTGGGATAGAGCGAGTGTGAGCGAGAGAGTCAGAGAGGGCTCATCCATGGTGCCGGTTTTATGTCATTTGTCTTTAATGAACGGTTACCCAAACCCCCCTGCGGGCATTGTTATTGCTGCTGCGGCTGCTGTTCTCGGCCGTTGCATTTATTGTCCTACCAAGCGTCGCTTTTGTTTTAAGCCAACAACATTAACATTGCAGCCAATTTGTCGACGAAGGCGAAAAACAGAGAAACGCGCGTGTTTCATGCCAAGAAGCTTCGTGCAGTGAAAAAGTTTGGTTAGGGTGAGTTGCGGCCAGAACGACCTACGTGTGCGCTGCATTGGTGAACCTTGAGGCTAGAATCTGTTAAAACCAAAGCTGCAAACCAGTTTTAAGCCGAACAGAGACAGCTGAGTCGAAAGCTGAACCAGCTTCTTTTCAATAAATGGTTCGAATCAATTTATAATTAATATCAAGTTAAATTAAATTTAACTTTTATTTATTACAAATTGAAGTTAGCGAACCATGAGGCGAAGCACTGGTTCGAACCAACGTTTGTTGGCCTTGCAGTCTTGGTTAATTCGCAAAATGCATGACTCATGTGTCTGGCTCGATATGCTGACACTTGTGCTCTAACTATGCAGTTGGTCAGCTGGTCAGGTGTCCTTAGCTAAACTTGAAGGCTTGCCTTGGCTTTGCCTGCAGCGCTGCTGTTCGCATGTGTAGCAGGCGGTGCACGCAATGCAGCCAAAGCGGCTAACTGGACATGGTCATAACAGTTCAAGTCGCAGTGGCAGTTGCAGTCGCAGTGGAAGTGGCAGCTTGCAGTTACAGTAACAGTGCTCGGCCAACTGGCCAACTAGTCGCAGCTTTTGGCCTAATAAATGCACTAATTGCGGTTAAATGCATTTTGCATGCAATTATTATCATTAGGGGTTGGGACCGCACATCGTCAGTGAGCCCTTCCTTTCGCCTCCAACCCTCCCTCCTCCACTCATGCTCTTACCAATTGTTAATTGCTGCTATTCAATAATTTAATTGCGCCCCTCTCGCACTTTCTCTCGCTCTCTCTTCAGCTCGTTCGCTCTCATACACTTGCGTTCTAGTTTTGTTTTATGTTTCTCTTATTATTATTATTTTTATTTAGACAAAAAAATTGTGTTGAATTACATTTACATTACAAATACAACGAGCACATTTATTCTAATAATTATAATTAAAAAAAAAATTTGTAAATAAAAACAAAATGCAAATTCTATTAAAAGTTTCGTTTTTGTTTTGTTTTTGTTTTCGCGTTAATACATCTTGTGGCTAGCTTAATTATGCACATTGTTGCTTCTATTTGTTAATTTATTAAATGTATTTGTTTTGGCTGCTAATTTTTACAACATTTAAATAAATATTTTATGCTTCGTATATCTTAAGCCTAACCTCAAAAAAAATTGTGTTTATCGGTAAATATTATTATTATTTTTTTAATAAATTACTAAAAGCAAACAAATAAGTTAAGCCAGACACACGTATATATATACACTCACACACACGCACACACACTCAACCATTTGCCATTTTGTGTTTTGGAAACAAATACTTGAAAATGGTTTCAATTTTGTTGCTGGATTTCGTTTTTTTTTTCTTTGATCACCCGCTTGCACCTGGGCCGCTTTACACCTGCAGCTGATCCTCATCATCGGATTGCGCCTGGGAGCTGTCCACGGATCGCCCGGGCGGACTGCCCGGATTCAGCGTGGGACTGGGCGTGGATGGCGGATGCGCCGGCGATGCGGCGGCGTTCTGCGCCTGCGCCAACACACCCGTTGCCGGCGATGTGGCCAGCGCCTGTGGCTTGTGTATGATGCTAACGCCGCCGCCGGCTGCGGGCGCTGCTGCAAGTGGCGGTGGCACCGCGCCACTAGCAGCGGACCCATTGGCTGCCGCGGCAGCAGCCGCCGCGCTCTGATAGTAGCTACTTAGCGATGACAGCGAACTGGAGGCGGATAGATGCGAGAAGGGCGCGGCTGCGGCGCTCAGCGAACCAACGCTGACGCTGGGCACACCCGCATACAGATTGTAGGGCAGCGGCTTCTGCATCGCCGCCGCCGCGGCCGCCTGACGATAATAGATATCGATGCTGGAATGTGGCGGTGCGCCATGCGCGGCTGCTGCGGCGCCGGCGCCGGCAGCTGCCGCATACGGCCAGGCACCCAGATACGGTGAGCCGCCGTAAAGCCGCTGGAAGGCTGCAAAGTTGCCAGCCTCGGCCAGGAGTTCTAGTCCAACCGCCGTTTGACGCTTCCACTTGGTTCTGCGGAATGGAAAAATGCAAAAGGAAGAGAACTCAGTTATGGCTGTTGCTAAGAGCGCTCCAACGGCAGACGAGGGATTTGGTGAGGCGTGGGGATCAACGCACCTGCGATTCTGATACCAGGTCTTCACCTGGCAATCGCTTAGGTCCAGCTTGTGTGCCAGCTCCTGACGCTCCTGTACGCTGAGATATTTCTGGCGCTCGAACGACTTCTCCAGCGTCTGCAGCTGATGATCCGTGAAGGCGGTGCGCGCCTTGCGCTGCTTTTTGCTCAGCCCGCTCATGTCGCTGGTGGAGCCGCTCTTGATGCTGTTGCCATCATCGTCCTTGCCACCTAAACAAACAGACATTAGCGAGATTGTTAGCCAGGGCTATAAAGCATTTCGATAGACTAAATAATAGCCAAGAACTTAATGCTAAATGCAGTTGCTGACGACCACTAGAACCACAGCTCATCTTAACTGTATCGGCTGCACATGGCCAAGGCAGCGGCACGAGGAGCTGAGGAGCGACGTAAGAGTTGAACAACGTTTAAGACCACGCAATTGCCGTTTCCGTTCTCAACGGCTAAGGCTGTCTCTGTAGCTGCTGTCTCTTTCGCTCCCTCACCCTCGCTTTCTCAACCTCTATCTCTATGTTGTGGCTGTAATAAAAATGTGTAGCAAAATGTCTAAACTTGGCCCAGTCCTCTTGCCCGCTCCCATTTCCGTTGCCGGCCTATTGACCACCCCTTTCTGGTTACTTTACTTTTATTTTTTTGCCCAGCTAGCTGCTGGCTCGTTTGCCATTTAGTACATAAAATTTATGTAAATTTATCTGATTGTGGTTAGTCGATAAGCGACTCGCCTCTGTTTCAGGGCCGCTTTCTGGCCAGCTCACAAGCGTTAAATTAGTTTAAAGCGAAAATTTGCCAAGTGCGCTTTTAAGCCAAATGCCTAACATAATATATTCTAAACTGCGAGAACTGTTTACCCAGCTGTTGAGCGGCTTTCAGGGCAGCTAGAAAATGGTTAACATTTAGCTGCTGCGGGCAACAACAAAAATGCTGCTGCCTGCAATTACCAAGCTTAAACAGAGTTGCAGTCAAGAAATCAAATTAAGTGCAGCCCAGGCAGATGCTAAAGAGACGCAGCTTTCGCTGCTTCCAGGCACAACATTTGGCTCCAACTTTTTAGCCCTCTTTCGATCTCTCTCTTTTCTCAGTGTCGCTCTACCTCTCTCGCTCTCTCTATCCCTACCTGCGTCAGGCCTGGCTGGCCGTTGAGGCCAAAGCCGCTGGGCCAACAAGACGCGACTACCGTTTATAAAATTACAATTGCACACACAGGAAATTGCAGTAATAAATGGTCGACAAGAGTGTAGAATCATATGGCAAAAGAGACACACGCAGAATACACACACACACTTACATACACAAGCTCAACAACATTCAATACAAAATTTGCTTTGGGGCATCTATCGAGTGGCCTTAAATGCATTTTTCTTATAACATTTACCATAATTAAATGAGTAGGAGCGAACTGGAGAATTAAAAGAGAAATAAACGAGTATGTGCGAGAGAGAAAGAAAGAGTGCAGGCACATGCTCGGGCAGAGACAACGTTTTGCTTCTAACTATATATAATTAGGTTTTTGCTCGGCTAAAACAAAAAAAAATCATTAAAATTATATTTGCAAGCTGCGTTTTGCTGTGTTTCATGAGGAAGACATATCCCCCCCACCAGCACTCCCTCAGCCTACCCTAGCTAACTTCAACTGCGGGCCACGCCTCCAACTCTTCCATTGCTATGTTGTTGGTGTTGTTGTTGTTGTTGCTGCTTGCTGTTTAAACAATTTTGCTGCCAGACAAATACACATTTTGAAATGGCGCATGCATCAAAAGTGCGCAAGGTGGTTGGGGGGTGGGGTAAAACAAACAAAGCGTGAAAATGCAATTTTTTAGCAGTATCCAAAGCCACCTACTCTGCTCCCCCACGCCCGCCGACAACTAGAATATGGCATGTTCATGCAATTTTTACAGTTTGTTTTGCAAAGCGGCTGCGTCCCCCTACAAACAAAAGACTCTGGCAACGAACTTGGCATGACATTCACTCAGATAGACAGACAGGCGGACGGACAAAGAGATTCGCATTACGATTGGTTATCGCTACCAGACCGACAATTGTCATGGAATACCATAAAATTAGACAACCAATATGTCATGCCCGAAGGTTTTCAAGAGTGGAAATCAAGGAAAACAAATTGAAATAAAGAAAAGTTCTTAACTTTCAAATAAGACCAGGTCATCTCTACCACATATAATCATAATCGTACGCATTCCAGTTAAGATTTGTGGCTACTTTAAGGCATATCAATAATTATTGTCCCTTAAAAATTGATCATCAATAATTATCAAGTTGCAAACTTGTAACTTTGGCTTTTATTAAGCAGATGCAAAAGCATTAACTGTGTTTAGGTTTTTTCATTTAAACTATATAAACAGTTTTGTCGCGAATAACTTAGTAATCAATCAAGCAATAATTATTGACGATCTCTAAATATCAAGCTAATGCATTGTAGATATTTTGTTTTTCTTTCAGAACGTTGAAGTACCGCTAATTAATTGTCTTGTCAGATTGGAAATCGATAGCAGACTTATCAACTGGTATGTCAAAATTTAATGATATTAATTAGTATTAGTATTTGTATTATCCATGTTTTATTATTATCATTATTATTATTTTTATTGTCATTATTAATATTATTATTATTTTTATGATTATTATCAGTATTATCATTATTATTATTATAATTTTGACTAATACTGGAGATAACCTATCTAAAGACCAGCGACTTGGGCTAAAGTATCATAGCAACCCTAAGTGAAATGTATATTTAGTATTATTAACGAGTTCCGGAATGGATCAAGCATAATTAACAGACATAGACATTCCACACAAATTGGGTTTCTCATTAGCCCCACCCCATCTGAACCTTGACTTTTCTCAATTTTCACCTCGTTTTCTGCTTTGCTGATTAAAAAATGGCTCAACTCTAGATACGATTTTGAATTCGATCTGTAGCTATTGTTGGTTTACACGCGCCCTCCGCCCTGCCCCCCGCGTTGCCCCAAAATAATACAGAAGCTCACCTCACCATTACTACAAACGCTGTGATCATCCATGTGACCGCCGCCACTGCCCGCCTCGTCGCTGTCGCAGTCCTCGTTCTCCTCGTGGTAGTCGCTGCTATCGTCGAGCTCCGCCGACGGCGGCGGCGGCGGCGCTTCGCCAGCTCCAGCGGCTGCCGCTGCGGCCGCTGCTGCTGCTGCCGCCGCAGCTGCTGCATTGTTGCGCGCCGCTGCCGCAGCGGCAGCTGCTGCATAATGCTGTTGCATTGCCGCGGCATATTGCGCCACGTTCAAGCCGTTGGCGCCCATCTGGGCGGTGGGTCCAAAGTGGGTCAGTTTGGCGTGCGGAAGTGTGTGCGGATGCGGATGCGGATGTTGATGCTGATGATGGGCATGAACTGCCGCCAGGGCATGTGGATGCGGCTGGTGGGGCAACTGATGTGGAGGCGGCGGTGGCGCCAGGCTCGTCTCAGGCTCAGCATCCAAGAGTTCGTTATTATTATTAGCATTGTTGTTGTTGTTGTTGTTGTTACTGGTGTTGTTGTTATTATTGTTGTTGTTGTGCTGCTGCTTATAGAATGCAGCAGCGCTAGCAGCGGCCGCACTGCCCGCCAGAATGTCATTGATCATGAAGCGGGATCGATTTGGCTTCAAATTGGACGAGGTGGACATGGACATATTGACCGGCGGTGGATGCAACGGATAGTGATGCTGATGATGATGATGATGATGATGCGAAAGCGAATGCGAATGATGTGGCAACGGCTCGCTGGGCGCTGTAGTCGTGGGCAGCGTCTGGGTTAATATGCTCATTGAGTCTTTCATTGCCAACAAGGCGGCCGCACAGATTTCAATTGGATGCACTTTCAACTTGTCACTTGGCGTTCACTCACAAATGCACAGCCAAAAAAAAAAATTGTTTATTTTTTTATAGTTGAAAAAATGTTGTTCTTGATTATGTTGCACAATGTTTTCGTGCTGTTTGCGCACTTCAACTTGAAATTTAAATTCATATAGGTTTTTAAGTTGAGAAAATACGACTTCGAACTTGGACAACCCGTCGCCTCCGCTCTGGACGTCGTCGCGCTGTGGCTGCCAAAACGAGACTAAACGCACCTGCAACGCCTCAGCCGCACAAAGCCCAGTCGCAGCGGCGGCTGCGGCAACAATTTTTGCCACTTTGTCATAGGCGATGATGGTGGTGGTGGCTAGCGGTTGCTTTGGTGGTGGCTGTTCAGTTGTCTGTGCGTGAGAGCGAGAACGCTGCGTCTCGACTGCGCTGGCTCTTGGCCTCGGCCTAACGGCCTCTCTCTCCTGTCCGTTGGCCTGTTCCCATCTACGTTCAATGTGCCGTCTCGCTTGTGCGCAGCGCCATGTTGTTGGCCCCGAACTCAACATGCGCTCAGCTGTGGTGAGTTTCGCAGCCAGTTTTTATGGCAACTTGGTTAGGCAGCGCCGCGAGCTGAGAGAATTAAGAACGTGCTGTGCCATAAAGCGTTTGCGAATGTCGGTCAAACTGGCTGGCAAGGCAAAAGGACGCGGCGATTCGGCAAGTGGGCAGCACGCAGCCAGTAAGTTGGCAGCGCCCAGTTGGGGCCAACAAAATGGCGACGAACCATCCAAAAGAGGATCGCAAGTCGATATCTTTGAGCTTCTCTTGTGGTATTGAGACTTACAAATATAGTCAGTCCAGTTAACATTTCATTGTTTTTCAATTTTTCAAAAACTTTTCAGATTTTTATTTAGGTTTTTAATAACTGCATTAACTTTACTCTCAAAAAAGTGTTTGGCAATATCAATGAATTAATTTCATCAAAATAATAATAATACTTAAATAATAAACTAAATAAATAAATAATTATCAACTAATTACATTAATCTTATAAAGACTTACAAGTTAAAATTGTGAATATTTATTAATTGCAATCAAGTTGCAATAATATTAACCTAATAACGAGTTTTGTGCGAATTAGCTATGAAATAGTTAATGTATAAATTCTATAATATTGCTATAACAAGCGAAACTTTTTGCATATCTGTTTGAAATTGAGTTTGTAGACTCAGAATAAGTCTTATAAGTTTCAGCACATAGTCATGTGTATTATATGGAATGTTAGTTAATAGTTAGGAACTTTATACCTAAATTTGCTGAGATTGGCTGATTTTATCAAGATGAAGACCAATTGGTTTATTTTGACAGATTTCATGAAGCTTTCTTTGAGCACCTAATGGTGAGTTTTTCGATTTTCAAAGTCCCTTTACTTCAGAGGCTCTTCTTTTTTCCTAGCACACATTGAAGTTTGACTTTAACTCCTTATACGTTTTTATTTCATAAGAAACAAAAGTAAATCAATATTTCTAGCCTCTTCTTCCTTTCCAGTTGTCTAGTCACTTGATTGCTTGATTGTTTTTCATCTGATTAGCTGTCGCATAGATTCAAGAACAATTCACACTTATATCTTCCAGGATCACCTAATTGCGACTTTATTTGTTCTTTATGTGTTCCTAATGCTTATCTTATTTTATTTTATGCTCATTCCATATTCTTTTATTACTAGATGTCTTCTTAATTACCGAGTTTGGCAAGCAACGCGATCTCTTTCCTTGCAGTGTTCATTGCTTTCATATAGACCCAACTTCACCCAAATTCATATTTATGTGCTCATAGCTAAGGTAATTATACCAATGTTTTTTTTTGCCAGTTGGCAACTTCTGGCCAAGTAGTTCAAGTAGCTGAGCATAAGCGCCAATTAAAATTCCACGCCAATAGCTAAGCCTCAGACACAAACTGGCCACATGTTGCCCCCGGGCAGCATTAGTCCAGGACTAATTACTTCGCACAGCGGATGTAACAGTCCCGAGTCCGAGCCCAAACGCAATTTGTCGAGCGGCAAACGTTTGATTGATATTGAATCGGACTTGAAATTGGAATTGCTATTGGTATTGGGCTTGACGACCCAGATCAGGTCATTAGTCGGCGTTGCTGGTGCGGTTGGTGGCAAAAGGCGCAACGAAATTAGAGCAGCAACTGACAGGAGGGAAGAGGCAGACCTGAGGATAGGACGCATGCGCGCGCTTCAATTGCGGGGCGCACATTTAAAATAATTAGGCTCTGGCAAGGATCAAGGAACGAATGTTTCTGTGGCTGGCTGACTGCCTGGTTTCTTACTCAGCCTGGCTGATGACGGTTATTGCATTTAAATGCATATAATTGCAGCCAGGCATACATATGTATGTATACATGCACATATCTATATATATATATATTTATATATATATATATCCTGCGGTTGCCTCCTTGTGCGTTCTGCGGTCGAATTCCAATTGAATGCTTAAAATAATTGTACAAACTGTATAAAAGTCGCCAACCGCAATGCGCAGTTGCCAATACTGTCTGTCCAGACACAGTGAGAGTCCACTCACGCTCTGCCCCTGGTCCTGCCTCTATCCTACTGCTGTTTCTGTTGGGCATTTGCCAGTTTTTCCGGTCGCATTCATGCATTTGCAGGCGCAGCCCCAGGAAGCCTTGGCTCTCCCCTGTCTAATCCAGCCCCCTTATACCCGCCCCCATTCCTCTGACGCGGCGCACTTGCTGTGTGTGTTCTGCGAATTTTGCACCGCCTGCTGCCAGCCGTCTGTCCGGCTATCTAACTATCTAATTAGCGTGTTTGTTTGCCAGTTAATGTTCACTAATTTATTGACTCGGCTGGCTTATCAATGTGTTTGCTTTGCTGTTAACAACATCCGCAACACATGCGGCCAGCTGCCCGTGTCTCTTGGCCCCAAACCAACTGGCCAGATAAGACAGAATCAGACTCCGACTTGGCGTCGGGCTTTCTGACTTGTAGCACGCATCAAAGTTGCCTCCGGCCTTGTCACTCGATGAGCTTAAGGATCTGCGCTGCTTTTAATTATATCCTTGCTCAAACTAAAAAGAATTCAGGAACCAATTTTAAACATCTAAATAAAAAATTACAGATGCAAAAGTTTTCATTTCATTTTCATAAGTTGGTTTATTTAAAAAAACTGTAGTTGTCTTAAAAATATTCAACGATTGTGGAGTCAAGGAAGAATTCGCACTGTCGCTGTTCAGCAGGTGCAGGGTATTTCTTTGTCGGGTACTCATGACAACAGGCATCTTATTACAGGGGCTGTCACAAAGGTCACTCAATCATTTTTCAATTCAAAGCATTTAGTTATGAGTGAAATTTGGGAATTGGATTTGCAAGAAGCACTTTAGGGAATATAACAGAGGCTAAAACTCAATGCGTACTATATAGACTCTCTGTAGACTCTCTTTACTTATTGATTCTGGCTTGAGATCTGCTATTTTGGCTCTACTTCGGGCACATAACCCACACAAGGCAAATAAAACGTATCCCTGCCTCAACAACTTGGCTTCAGCTCAACTCTTGATCTCACTCTGGACTGCTATCGGTATCGCTGTCTCTGGCTCCATCTCGCCCAGTTCCGTTGGGAATCTTAATCGGCATCTTTGATATTATAATGTTCGTGTTACTGCATGGACAAACGTAATAAAATAACTGATCGTTGTCGCTGATAAGTTAATTTACTTTTAATGTGTTGCCCTTCGTGACGAGCAAGACGACGCAGACGACGGTCCATTGGGATGCCAGGCAAAAATCCCGATCGCAACGTGGGGGTAAATGGCTTTGTAGGTGACAACGGGTCTGCCAGTGGATCAGCTCCAAATTGGGCAGCGCGTGTGCCGACGTCGACTCGACTGATTTGTCAACAACGGTCCAACAAAGGTGACTCGAATTTATCGCTGCTCCAGATCAGATCCAGCACGCCAACAACAGCAACCACAAGAAGAACTAAGATAAAGCACAGCCGAGGCCCAAGACTACATGAAAAGCAAACAAGAAAGAAGCGCTCAGTTCAGCCGGGGTCGAATATTCAATACCCTGGCAATCAGATTGCCTAAGTTGACAGACACGCGAGTAAACGGTCAAGTATTTCTAACTTAAAATCGTGTCAAATTGTTGAACTAAAAAATGGTTAATAAGTTATTAAGAAGAAATTAATAATCAATACGGCTTACCCATTCTGATTCCATTATGAAACGTTGCAACCACAGGCAACGGTTGGAATCAATGTCTCGTCCAAAAATTTGGCTCGTGAAGTTGGTTATTCACATCTATGGACCCAGATTTTGGCATGTTGTATAAACATTTTTACAATTTGCAATAGAATAGCTAAGTTTGTTTATAAATTCAAATACTCGTTGAAAGGTTCGGTTCGTGAACCTGAGATTTCATATCTATGCACACAGATTTTAGTACACGCATTGGTTCCTAATATATTTATTTATTTTTTATTTTTTAACAGAGTTCGGCTGTTTTCTAATTTTTTCTGTTTCCTTTTCTACTTGGCTTATTTGGTTAATTGGGCTTAAACCGTTTAGGCTTAAGCACGGCTTACAGTCTGGGTTGTAAGTGATTGCCTGTTTGGCTATCTTTTTACTAAAAGTATATATATGATCGGCATTATCATCCAGATTAGGCATATATTAATTTAAATTACATTATTAATGTCTGTTGCATTGCGTTACATCCTTAGTGACAGAATCGGAATACCCTCTGCGAACACATACAAATAAATAAAAAGCAAGGATGCCCCATAGAACGGCGTTCGTTTAAATTGATGTCGTTTGATGCTTGACTCTTAGGAGTTGTTGTTGTTGCTGTCGCTGTTGTTGTTATTGGCCACTAAATGGCCGCAATTTAAATTTTTAGTGCCCGCTTGAGCCTATAAATTCTACGCATCTAGCTGAGAAAATCTGAGGCCGGCTCCGCAAATGATTTTGGCACCTGTGCAAACATTTT